AAAAGGCATATCAAGAAGCTCATACAACATGGTCATTGTGGTAGTATGTTGCTGGTAAGGGAGAAACCCTACTACCTAACAAAAACTAGGAAGACAAAGAGCGCTAACAACTCCTCGGAGAAATCTAGAAAATTTCTTGAGGATTAGGAATAGGAGGTAACTCCAACTCCACCAGGAAGACACACACCAAAAAGACCAAACAGGCAGAGCCAAGTGGTCCTCACCCCATGAAGACACCCCGGCACGGAGAATAACAGGTCATCTCCTTTTCAGATAGGGACCTTGATGGGATCCAAGTCCCTCATGATGACTCTCTGGTCTTAACCATGATGGTAGCCAACTACCAGGTTAAGACAATTCTAGTGGACAACAGTAGCTCAGCCAATATCCTGTTCACACCAGCCTATAACAGCCTCCACCTCGGTAGGGAGAGATTGCAACCCATTAGAACATCACTCGTTGGATTCTTAGGGGAAATGGTTTATCCCTTGGGTATTATCACCCTGCTAATCACAGCAGGTACAACACCTAGAAGCTCTACCATCATGGTATTCATGGTGTTGGACTATCCTTCTGCCTGCAACATCATCCTTGGATGCCCTATACTCAACACCTTAAGGGTAGTACCGTCCATCTATTGCCTTGTTCTCCATTTTCCAACCCTTTGTGGGATTGGAGAAATTAGAGGAGACCAAGTTGCCACCAAAGATGGCCTTTATGAGGGTCAAGAGACCACAAGAAGCCCTCTAAGTGAAATCATCCGACCTTAGGGATGATAGCACACTGAAAATAGGGAACCCTTGGCCCATCCATAGGACGTCGAACACCTGAAGAAGTATTATCAATAGTAGGGTATAAGCCAGTGGCTTCAATTTTATTTGTCATTATTTGTTTCAGTTGATTTATTTTGTTATCTATTATTTTATGAAATAAAATTTTGCAAAGATTATTGTGTCTAGAACTGTCTTGCTTTCATTCCATAAAGTTTATAAACAACTTACAAAAGTCAGAGTATGTCCTAACAACAAAAAAGATAGACAAAAAGACAAGAGTAATCATACTCCTAGAGATCACTCACTACTCCCCAATCCGCTTACATCAAGGCTCTCTCCGTCACCATCAGTCTTCAGTGCGTCATAAGGGACGAAGCCAGAAAAGTCAATGATAGGAAAAACACCATTAATGACAACGCCTGTAACGACCCTCTCAACTGTCTCCCCCCTCCTCTCCATCTCAATGGAGTGAGCCTCTATTCTAGTGGCTCTCCCATGAGCTGCTTGCAAGTCAGTCTCTATTACGACAGCCCTTTCTCAAGCTATATGTAGCTTGACCTTAGCTCCTACGGCCCTCTCGCAGGACGTTCATAACTCTAACTCTACTCTCGCGCAGGTAGTCTTCTTATCAGCCTCTAGCTTCGCTGTGATGCCCCTAAAAATAGGGAATCATTTTTCAACCGTTGGCCACCCGTCAACCCGTGAAAGTACCCGTGATTGTCGCACAACCAGACATCACATCAATAACATCCCCTTAATCAGGATTATCACCCACACGTGTAATCCGTGTACATTTTATCATTTGACCAACCAAGGTCCAATATACCACGATTTATCCTCATTTGATGTCCATTTATATCCTTGGAATCAAAGAACTCATAGTCCAAAAGCATGGCAAAACAATTTTAAAATTTCAGATTTTTGGAGCACATACCAGTATGTCATACCAGTATACCCTACTGGTATGCCCTACTGGTACGTCGCCCCTACTGGACAAAGTTCTACCGGTACGCCCTACCGGTATTAGTTGCCCACTAGATCTCGTTATACCGACACGCCTTACCGATATGGGTTTCCCATTGGATCTCGTCCTACCGGTACGCTTTGCCGACTTTTACCTATTTCACCTGTTGTTCATTTTCAACTCATTCAAAAACATATTATTTCCATCTAACACATGTACAATGAAGATTTTCATATAACACAAGGTCCATACCAATTCCATTACATTCTATTACATGAATTTATATACCAAAACTAAGTTTTTATAACAATTTTACAAAAAACTCAAAATAAAACCACATTTCGGCTTTCTTCATCCTTGAGGCCTCGAATGAGAGCCTTCCGCCAATGTACCACCCGCACCTGAAATATTTTTTCATATAGGGTAAGTCACGCTCAGTACAATATTTCCTACAGAGGCTACTCCCCCAACCTAAGTGCTTATGAAATGTTCATGCAACATTTAACACGTAAAAATATTCCAAACAAGAATATACTATTCAATGTTGGAATTTTAGCAATGTCATGCCATGAAATGAGATGAGGCTCACTCATGCAACTCAACTCGAGCCCTCCCTGATTCATTTCACCCATGCAATGCTATGAGTATAAAATCGAACTTTCCAAGCCCCCCTCATTGGCATTACACACCCAATGACCATTTTAAGAAAATTTATGGGTCTTTTCTTGGGGTGAGTATTTATGGACTTACACCAATGACACCCAACTGACATGGAATTTATGAACTTTCACCAACGATTTTGCGTACATCGATACACTTTATAGACCCTTATACCAACGAAGTATATATCCGATCACCAGGTCTCTCACCCAAGGGATAGTCTAGCCCTTCTTGTTAACCCTGACCCAATTCTTTTTCATGCAACCATGCAACTCTGTTGAACCTTGGTCCAACGGTACCAAGCCCACTTATCATCCACCAAGTATGGTGTTTGATCCAACACATGCACGTATGCCCACACCTATGACGATGTCCGTGAATGCGGTGTTCCCATGCAAATGTAATGTAATGTACCATTGCTATATCAATGTCATGTCCATATATAATGAATGTTACATGAGCAAGCTTTACCACATATCTACACATTCCTTGGCCAACTATATTATATGCATATAATCACCAAATTTAATCACAATATTAATATATCGATTAACATATATCAACATTTTATTTCCAACAATATTTGTCAAGCATTTTATTATATAATATGTGTCAATAACACACTCCAATCACAAAGGCATAACATTAACACAGAGTATGCCCACATAATACCCAATTTCATGGAATCACACAACTAATTTCCATATATTAATTCCAAGCTAGGAATTTTGTTTAAACCATTTCTATACCCATTTTCTCAATTTCACAAACCTAGGCAAGTGATATATAACTCTACCAACCTACTCATCTCATATAACATTCTAGGTTAGGAATTAAACCAAAGTAGGAAGGAACCCTACCTTTTGAAGCGTAAAACGACGTCAAGAAACTCCAAGACTCCAAAATGAGCTAGAATCCTCACTTCCTAAAATTCCGTCCTTGGAATCTTCAGTGAAACCCGTCAATTTTGGTGTAGTCGCGTAGCCCTCGATGAGAGAAATAACTTTTGTTCTTGGTCTGTGTTGATTCGAGCACCACAAGGTCGTAGATCGTAGAGAGAAGTGGTGAAACCCTCACTTTTTCCCTCTCTTCTTCTATCGGGTAATGACTGAACGATTTGGGGAAGAAAATCTGATCTTCTTCCCCTTTTTATAGTCTCCCAATGCTTGGTCCACAATTCGCCACACGACCCTCTTTTTTTCAGGTTCGTTTTCGCCCCGAAACGATTAAATTTTGTTCCGGTTTAAGTTCAAAATATTTTTATTATAATTTGCCTTAAATTAATTTCTGAATTTTGAAATTTTATCAAAACTTTTGTTTTTGGGTCACTTGAGACTTGATTGCCTCGTAAAACACAAAAAATCTGACTATTTTAGAATTCGATGAAATTTGACGGGATAACTAGATTTTGCAAGACAAATCAACAGTGAGGTTTGTTTCGTAATCCAAGATCTAGAAAATTTCAGATTTCTAACCTGTACTGTAGTGACAAATTACAGTTTTGCCCTATTTTGTAAAAAGTTTAAATTTACCTAGGTTTTACATTCGCGACCTTCTCGCGAGACGCCAAAAGTTCAGTTTCAAGAGGTGAAACTCTTACGTGTGCTAGACTCAACTACTCCTCGGCAGCCTCTCGTGCCTGTCTCTCTTTTGTTATATCTCTAAATGTCTCTCTAAGCTTGATCATCCTTGAAAAAAGGCAAGAAAAAGTGGCAGCCACTTGCAACCATTAAAAAAACCAGGATATGAAGGGAATGAGGTAGTACAAAATCAAGATTGAGTAGAAAGGGATACGATGACAAATCCCTCAATCGCGGTATTGATAATGCCCTCTAGACCTCGAGAGTCAACATCTCCGATATCCCCAGGAGTCACAAACCTCCAAAGATATTCCTTGGCCAAATTCATGTCTTGCAACATGGACACCGAGTTGCTACGATAAGCAAAACAGCTATGTGGAGCCCTAGTCCCCGTAAAAGACCGTACTAGAGTCTCAACTCCTATAATGAAACTAGAGCTAGCTCTAGTACACATAGGAGTTGTAGCCTAGGAGGGAGTGAGAGCACCGCCGAATCCTGTCTCCCGGGAAGCAACCTGGCCTTTAGACCTCGGCTGAGAAGCACTGGGGGCATCAGGCTTCGCCTTTTTAAGAGGAGGGGAAGACGCCACCCTAGAAGCATAAAGAGCCTCAACCATCGCTTTATCAATAGTGATACCTTTGAAATTAGGATAAGAAAAAGAATCTACAACATTGTAGTCATCAAAGTTTATTGGAAGGATCAAGTACCTTTCCTCTTTGGTCTAGGGGAGGCTCTGAGATGATCTGTCACATCATGACGAAAAGAAGACACGTACAAAATCTACTTTTTCACTAATTTGGAGTTAAAATTCAAATTCAGTGAGAAACAAATATTTTTTTGGAAAAATTTGGTGCCCAAAATACCTCAAACGAACAACCAAGCTCAAAGTTAAGGCTGTTCAAAATTTTGTCATTTTTTCGTCATTTTGTAATACTCTAGCCAGTGCCAGCACACTAGCGCCCAGGCACCAGAGTTACTAAAATGGCAAAGGGCAGTGGAGGCACCTTGCCTAGTGAAAATGCGTCACTCTTCATCCCTCGGAAGAAGCCTAGGGCGTGCTAGGGCATTGCTAGCCTCCAAAACATTGCTGCCCAGCGTGCCAGGACGTCGCCCCGCATCTCCTAACAGCCTGAAGGGACTTCTGGCACCACTCACTAGAACGTCGCACCTCCAAACATCGCCTGATACCTCATTGCAAAGTCTGCACTGCCCTCGTGAAGATTAGTGCCGCCTAAGCCAGAGCCCAGGGTTGCCCAGGCCATAGGTTGGCATCACCCAGGTGAGCTCTTTGCTTGGCGTCGCCTACATGAGCTCTGGCACCGCCTTCTGTGCCTAGGGCATCACCACCTTCCCTCACGCCTACACATCCTCCTTTAGTGTTGCTGCTGCTGAAACCCTTAATGGCATCGCCCACAGTCACTGGTGCCAAGACTCTGCCTGATGCCACTCTCATACTGTCGCCTAACTGGTGCAAGTCGTCACCCAACACCTCATTGATGTCACTCAGCGCCTGGGCGACGCGTCGATGTTGCCCATCTTTCTCTCATCGCCATTGAGTTATTACGCCTCCTTCCGACCTGCTCCGTTGATGTCATCCACTTGTGCGCTACCTTGGGTCATCCTTTTCCCCTCTATTGATGGGTTTTCTCTTGGAATACCTCTTCTCTAAATCTCTCCCAACCTTCAATGGAAGCTTTCAAGGGAGAAAGTCACAAGAAAAGTAAATGGTGCTCTATAAATATTGGCCTCTTGAAGACCTAAGAACAGTGCCCTAAATGAAGGAAAATGAGGCTTTAATGGAAAGATGTAAGCTTTCCTCTAACCTGATGGCAGTAGTGCGATAAAGTTGGAAGGTGAAGAAATGTGTTTCCAAGGTAATGGCAAACTGCTGTGGGGAATAAGGTACTTAGTTTGCTTAGAAGAAGAACTCGAGCTCACTCATGCCCTCAATCTTTTGTCATTACAAGGGCTTGGGGCATAGGGGCAAATGATGAGCCCAGATCCAACTAGGCCAAGTCCAATTCATAAAGTAAGCCCAAATTAGTTATGAAGCAGGTTTAGCCCAGCTCATGGATTCGACCTAGTCTAGAGTTCAAGGAATCTAGGAAGATCAGAGTACATGAAGAGTAATTACTAACGTAGTTATTCTCAAAAATCAAGACTATCTTGAATTGTACCTATCCTTAGCTGTAGGTATCCTCTCCAAAGGATTAGTCTCTTCTCGCTTCATGCCACCGCCTCAACTAAGGCTCTATGCCTATAAATTGTAAGCCCTCTACACATGAGAGACACGCCTCTACATCTCTACATCTCACCCAACTATCTCTCCACACCTAGAGCTTATTTGTGCTCTCTCTTCCCTCAACTATTTTATCAATAAAGTCCTTTGGCCACCGTTGTTGCCTTCACCGTGGATTACGTCATCCTGACCGAACCACTCTATATGTATGTGTTGTTTGTGTGGATCTCATCTTTATATTTACTGCACTTATTATCTATATTAATTATTCAATAGGTGGTGCATAAATTCATTTTTGTGTATCATCAGTTGTCATCTTACGGTTAAATCCCACGTCTCCCCCTAGCCACCATCTCCCACTTTCATGGCTCATTTTGTCAAGAAAAACTGTACTTGCAATTTTTATGGGAAATTCTTCTTTTTCCATCATGCATCATTTTTTTCTTCTTTTGTTACAACCCCCCAACCCCCAACCCACCTCACCTCTCACTCTCTCTTACTTTGTGAACTATTAGTGGTGCTAGACACGGGAAGATGGAGAAGGGTTCGTTTCGTCTTATTAGTTATAATTGTTCGTTTCATCTTATTATTTATAATTGTTACATTTGGGAGGGTATAACTTTAGTATTTATATTTTAACACGACCCCTCACGTATAAGCTAGATTTTGGATCTAGCACAAGAATTTTTTTTAATAATTATGGTGGGGGCGAGATTCGAACACAAGACCTTTTGTTCTAATACTATGTTAAACAATCATCTACTCCAAAATTTCAGCTATTAAAAATGGTGTAACTTTAGTAACCTTACAGGCGCATTTATTTATTTATTTGTTTTGGGGGGGGGGGGGTGTGTGTGGGCTTATTGTATTGGTGTTTCAAAGCACATAAACTTAATGGGCTTGTATTTGGGTTTCATTTTAAAGCCATTGTAATGGGTTTTGGTCTTAGTTCGGCCCATGGCTCATTCCTTTTGTTTAGACCGTTTCCCTGGGCTTAAAAGTAAGCTTTCACTTTATGTTGTTTTAGTCTTTTTCTTTGGCAGGAGACTTCGTTAGTTGACCTCGACAGTGGTCTCCTCCTCTTGCTTTGCTATTCATCTTCTCTTTGCTTCTCTGTGAAAGCTCTACACTCTTGCTCAAATTTTTTGGTGCTTACTTAATGATGATTGGAGAGAATTGTTCAATACTCTTCACAATAAATATATATTGGTAGAGATCCTAGGAGGTTGTTGTGCCAAAGATCACCTAGCACACCGAGTCATCGACTCCGAGGGGTGCGAATGAACCTTTAAAGACAAAATTTCGGTTTGATCTATAGTTTGGTAAGATCGTTCCTTTGCATCTATTTCGTAATTGGTATTTCTAGGACAAATTATTTTGGGTCTTTGTTTTAAGAAATTAATTTTGTGCAAAGTGTTGTTTTCCATTATTTCATTACTTTATTAAATAAATTTTACAACAATTTCAAAGGTTGAGTCAAAAATGGACACACAACTTCTTGCCCAAATAAAGATCTTATCGGATACTTATAAAATTAAACCTTTTGTTGTAAATAATTTGCATAAATGGAAGCAAAAGGTTCTTGATGTGTTGAATTTTTTGAAATTATCATTTGTTTTAATCAAATCTAGACCTGATGATGATACTGAAAATTATCTTGAAGCTTTGAAAAATTGAAATCTTGCCTATAAATTGTGCTTAGTACTATTCGTAATGCTTTGTTTAATGATTTATTCGATGTGTATAGTCATATGGAAAATGCTAAATTTGTATGGGATGAATTGATCTCTAAGTATGAGTTTGCGGATAAATGTACTAAGAAATTTTTGGCTATTAATTTCCTTCGTTACCAAATGGTCTTATTATCGACCATTACATCACTGTATGCTATCCTTGTTTGCTTGGTGTCACTCTTTGATGCATCTTTTTGGTGTCACACCTTTTTGTACTTTTTCAATAGAGAGAAAATACGGGAGAGAGTAACAATGAGATAAAATAGCGACAAAGAGAGAAAAAATAGGAAGAGAGAGTGAGAGAGAGAGAATAAAAATAAATGTTCAAAATTCAAATAAATGATAAAATTAAATAAAATTAAATCTTTACATATTTTTAAAAAATAAATTATCAATCAGTTATGTATTATTTAAAAAAGAATAATTAAGTAATACAAGAAAAAAGTAACTGAATTGTGTACTTAATACTAAAAATTATTAGAGGACTTTATAGCGTAAAAATCTGAAACGTGAAGCCTTAGAAAATGTACCTACAAATAATTTTCCCTTAATGGTGTACTCCAGCGCCACCTATTCACCAAAATCGTATATTCGTCTCTCTCTCACACACACACAAACACATACACACAGTTGACGACAACACAAGGCCTTCCATCTTTGTCTCTCTCTCTCTTTCTCTCAATTAAGGACGTTCAATGAACGATAGCCTCTCTATCTCTCTCCTCAGTTGACGTGTAAATCTCATATGGAATCGTATATCTTAGATCTCAATTCTCAACAAACCAAGTCTCTGATTGAAGCTCTCACTTTCGAGTTGTCTCTCTCTCTATCTCTTCGTATATATATACTATAAAATAAACATTTTTCTCCCAAGAACAACTGTGGTGACTTCTCTCTTAGTTTCCTTAATTATCCTTTTTTACATTAATTTAATTGCTACTCATCCAACCATTTGCCTACTCAAGTTTTCTACTTAATCAAATTTGAAATACCAATTTACCCACTTTTCCAATGATTTGTAACTAACTTTGATGGGTCAAGCCCAAGGGCCCAACTCACGTAGTAAGCCCAATTTGAATTAATAGTCCAACTCCAAGAGATCTAACTAGTCAAGTCTGATCAAGATCATCAGGTTCGAAGAGCTACGTCAGCAGGGGAGCACGCAGGGTCATCCAAGAGCCTCTCACCCATGCTGTCTTGGAAAAAGTCAACACCCATCTCATCCTTTTGACCAAATTTCATGGAGAGCACTGTAACTGCCTCGGCCGTTGAGAAGAGATCGTCACTTTCACTAGAATAGTCACTTGGTTACTAACAACTCACCCCACTCTGTTATGGAGTGACTATAAATTGTAAGCCCCGTCAATACTTGGGGGACATCACATTCAGTCGAGCATAACTCTCTTCTATCTCTCTAAGCTCATAACTCTGCTCTTCCTACACACTTGAAGTAATAAAATACTCGATGATTCTAGCTATTCAAAGTGGACGTAGGTCACGTTGACCGAACTACTATAAACCTTGTCTTACTTTTGTCTCTATCTCGTACTTCTTGGTTACTGCATTTATTACTAATCATTTGACAGGTGGTGTACAAACTCAATCTGTGCATCACCAAACTTGATAACCACTACATTCTTTTCAAAACTGCCTCCCACCTCAATATGTCTCTCCATCTCTCTCGTTCTCTTTCTCCTATCTTCTCCCGTTCACGGCCAACTCATTCTTTCTCCTGAGGTAACGAAAACTCTCTCTTCCATTGCTTCCTGTAACTTCATTTTTACAAACCATCAATCATTTGTCTGTTACAGATCCATTCAATATTTTTCTTCTTCAAATCACTCCCACAACAACGTTATTGAGGCTTTCTCTCAGGTAAGGTTTGTTATCTCTTTCTCTACCTCTTTATTCCTACCTTTGCCTACTCTCTTTAAAGTCACAAAACCCATAAAATGTATAGACACCCATGCAGAAATTGTTGATTCTGCCTTATCATTCGGCCATAGGTTTTTTTTTTTCGGGTGGATTTTTTTGTTTTTTTTTGGGGGGGGGGTTGGGTTTGGGCAGAGAATTTTTTTGTGTTGGTTTCAAGGGTTGTGCACAAATACTCTCTTATCTTTTAGGATTTGTTTTATTTTATTTCAAATGTAAGAATAGATTGTGATAGCGTATACCAACGTGGAAGAGCTTAAGGTGAAAGTAATGCGGGGTGAGCGTAGATCAGAGCTATGAGGCTCGTGTATGATGCTAACTGATAGAATTCAGGGGATTGAAGAGGTGCACACAGTAAAAATATAGTGATTCACCGGCTCAGGAGCTCAGCTAGTCCATTCTTCAATGGAGGTTCTTGTTCCTTCTATTTTATTCACGATGATTACAAAGTTGTTATGGCTTCCTATTGTCACTAGGGTCCTCTTGTTAGAAGGTGTTATATTGCATTTATAGTGTCATTCCCTGCTAAGTGAGATTCTGGCTGAGATTCTACCCCTTACTTTGTGGGATTCTCCCTAATTCTAGGAGAAGATCTTGGCTAGTTGAGATTAGGTGCCTTGATTTTAGCTTCCTAACGCTTTAGGAACCTCTCGAGATTATCCAGCTGTTGCCTTGGTTGTTATTGCCCTTGCTTATCTCGAAGGAACCTCCAACTC